TGCTGCCCTGCAAGGCTTTAAACCTGGGTTTGAATGGAGACTAAGCCATTCTCAAGCACAGATCAAGGTTCTCATTTTGAGCCTGGATCCAGATTTATTTTTGATTCTGTTCATGGTGGAGAATCCTGCTTCACAGCAGCAGGTTGAGCCAAACATCCTCTAAATGTGCAGGGTCATCTTTGAGCACGCCATTTCACTTTTCTTTCACCATTTCACCGCAGTTCTTCCAGCAGTCCACACTTTCTCTGCTCTCTTTTTCTCATGGTCTTCTCCTTCTTTCCCATCGCCCGGCTTGCCACAGGTTTGCCTGCTGTGTCTAAAAGTAGCAGCAGCAGCAACCCAGACTGACAGCTCATTGGCTCATTTGGGTCACGTGCAGCCTGGAGCCGGACGCTCCCCAGGGCTTTACCGTATTTATTTACCGAATTTAGACAATGTTTAAAATCAGGTTGGGTCCAGATCAAGACCCTGTTCTGCTTATCCGTGACCTCTGATCTACTTTCAGCATCCAATTCAATGTTTAAACAGTTGCTGACGATGCATCCAGCTGATGCATTCTTTAGGAAAATAAAGGTAAATTTAAAACTTTCAGTAACTAAATAAAAAAAGAAAAACATCAAACAAGTCCTGAGTCTGTCCCTAAGTCTCCATTCTGTTAAATGTGTCTGAAACCCTTCAGCATGAAGAAATCGTCTCCAAAACAGCCAAGCAAACTAAATGTGATTCTTTCTCTAGATGTGGTGAAGAAATTACACTTTTTTCCTACGAGAAGTGTTGAAAAAAATGCACATTCAGCAATGCACTCATTATGCAGTATTAATAAGTTGGTAGCGTCAACTCAAAAATAAACAGCCTCTTATATTCCAAGTTCTCGGCAAATAAAGTGGAATGTAGAAACAGATTTCTTCTTTATTGGACAATAATGACTGTTTTATTCTAATTGTTTTCAGCAGCAAGGGAAAAGTTTACACAACACTAAATAAAAACAGCTTACTCGGATCAAATGACATGCTCAGCTGAGCAGGGTGAATTAAAATATGTAAAAAGATGCATGTAAGAATTGAAGCTGATTATTTACAAGAGAAAAAAAATAACTGCAGGGATGTAAACAACTTATTGAGTGTCTTGCGATATAATCATAACAGCTACCGGAAAGAAAGATCTTTGATAACGCTCCTTTGTGCATCAATGACACTAGTTTTTGATTGAAGGAGCTCTCCAGCATGAAACCTGCTCCGTGCATCAGGTTTTATTCTTTTTGCTGGGGTTCGTTTGTCCCAGCCGTCTGCACCGTGTCAAAGGGCCATCCTAGGACAAAGCCTTCCTCATAAACGCATCTAATCTCTTCCTCTCTCCTATAGATAAGCTGCTGCTTCAACAAACTAACCCACAGATGATCTGATACCACAGAGTCAAAGAAGGTCTTCAGGAGGATCCTCTGCACACCAAAACATCTCCATCTCCTCAGCAGGTAGAGTTTAAACCTTCCTTTAAAGTGTCGCCATGAAGTTCATTGATCAGCTGAACATCCAGGGTTCATTAAGTGTCCATTCCTTCCTCTCATGTCAAAAGCTCCTTTTTAAATGAAGCTTTGTTGTAAAGCCTTTCTACCCTTAAGGGCTTCATATACATATTCTTCATACATTGAGTGTAAATGGATGAAAGCCAAAAGTGCTTGTTAAACTAATTTGACAATTACTTTACTTCAGACGGAGTCGCTTTGCTCCAACAAACTTTAAAAGCAGCACAAGCTGAGAGTGTTTACTTGTGTGTTTCACTTCACGTCCTCCCAGCACTGTTAATCAAATGAGCCGTGTTTTCATAACCCTCGTGCAACGGTCTGATGAATGCCACGCAGCACAGCGAACATGAGATAAAACAGATCTGTGCCTCCCAAAAGAAAAAAACATAAACAGGGGGATGTCAAAGTATATTTGGACATATGGTGGTTGTACCTACTTTAAAGAAATTCACATTTAATGAACTAAAAATGTACTGTATCATAACTGCATGAGTCTCTTTTACACTGTTATTTAGGAGCCAGTGATCTGTACTTTCCATTATGTTGAAGCATAAGTCTAAAGTGAAATGGCAAAGGACAAGAGGTGAAACTAAAATGGTTTGACATTAGACTTGAAAGGAACATAATGGCATGTTGAAAGAAACAATACGGCCCAGGAGGAAGTTCCAATACATCCTAAGAAGGCAGATAAGTGAATCATTCTGTATTTTCCTATGAAAGATGCACTTCTTTAATAGGTTATTATATCAGCTAGGTTTAAACAATAGCTAAAGCTACTTGCAATTCCTTATTTGAATACATGTACATTATAATTTATAGTTTTAAGTAATAAAAAGTCCATATTTAATCTATTCAAATATATAAATATAATCATTTGCTGTACTTGAGGCTTAATAATTGATTTAAAAATATATTCCTTCTGGACACTTGTCAGGACTCCTGTCTGTGTGTTCGTGTTTCTGTGTTTGTCTCCCTTCCTCCACCAGGAGGCGCCTGGTTCTGGTCCGCCTCCTCACACACCTGCAGATGGTTTCTCGTTAACGGAGTGTTCTTAAGCTGCTGACTGCCACTACCTCGACATCAGAGTGTTCACCAGTTTTGGGTACTCTAGCCAAGCTGAGTTTTGTTGAGTTTTTGTCAACCTGAGTTTTAACTTTGTTTTGTCTTTGCCCCTCGGCAGGAAGTCATCCTGCAAACTGTTTTTTTTTTCTGACCTTCTCTCCCTGGAAGGATTAACTGAGCTTTAAGTTGAGCTGGGCTTCAAACAGGAGGTTTGGATCCACTTTCCCCAAGAGATCATTTGAGCTTCACACTGAAAAAGGGATTCCTCTCCACTACGACCCGTTCAAGTACCGCAGGAAATCTGAGTGGCAGTCAGTTTCTCCGTTCACCTCCAAACAATCGCATTCTGGGTAAACCCTGTTCCGCCCTCCACCGAATCAGACAAACACTGGAACAGCAGCATACAGACTGGAGTCATAGATTCAACAACTTCTCTGGAAACGTGAGTCAGCAACCAAATCCTCTTCTCCAAGTTCACGAATCAAATTTCCAACTGAGCCTGAACTAACCGGTGTCTTCCCCTCACTTTTCAGTTCCGGTTGAGCAGTGTTCAGAACAACACTTCTCTCTGTATTATCTCTTCAATAAAACCTGTTAAACCTTTTCCCTGGTCTCCCTGTTTGGTCTTCTGCATTGGGTCTGAACTTTAGTAAAATCATGACAACACCGACAAGCAAACCTCCAACCACTAAAGCTCACTAGCAACTAATGCTAACTTTCATTTAAAGGAAAAGTTCGGTCAGCAAGGAATAATCAATGGTTCATTATTTAAACGTAAAAGTAATACGTTTGCAGTGATTTAATGAATTTAGCGTTAATCAGTAAAAAAAATTAAAATAATAATTTTTGTCGCGATCACTGTGTCCGGGAGCGGCCATTATTGCCCAAATATAGTAACCACTCCTTCCTGCCATCTTCTGGCAGTGACGTCACGGTGCGGTAAGCCTAGCGCCATTCTCCCCGCTTTACAAGCAAAATCAATGGGAACTACTAGACACATCTGCAATCAACAACAATTATTAATGATTTCCAGAGGACTTCACTCAAAGTCACCAGAGCTTTAGTGAAACTGACAATGCCCACGTGCATGGCAGCTGGATGTTGGAATACATCGGGTAAATGTGAAAAAATAATGAGTTATTCCACCTTTCTGATTCCTGATCCTCCACGGACGGGTTCGTCGTTGGATCGCCAACTTGAAGAGGGAGGATTTGCCATCGAACTTCTGGCCAGAGAAAAAACACGTAATATGTAGCCAACATTTGGAAGAATAATGTTTTCAAGATGACTTGGATAATAGCGCGTTGTGACAAACACCAGATACAGCACTGGGACTTGATCAACAGCCAATACCGCACCGTGACGTCACAAACCAGTAGGTGGCAGTAGTGTTCTTTGACAAACATGGATGCGTCCAATAAAGCACATTCAAATGAAAATTACTCTTAATTAAAAACACTTATCTTTTATTTAACAGTATGTAATAATTTCATATTTAAAGTACTTTCATAAGTTTATATTCTGAATGTGAGCGGACTTTTCCTTTAATTTGTTTCAAAGAGAAAATTAAACGGAACCTTGGTCACATTAAAATGGTGAAACTATAGTGATATAATTAGAGTAAGCACCAGCAAAAATAAACATTAAACAATGCACCAAAACTAGAGTACTGCCTATTATACTGATGCAGATCCTTAACAGGAAAAAAATTTACTTTAGTCTTTATTGGTCGCCAACAAACTATAATCTGCTTAAGCTTTAAGCTCTGACAGAAACATTTTTAAATTTTTAAAATGTTCCTTTATTTTATAATCGGGGGTCTTTTATTGAAAAAAGCTGAGACAGTTCTACGGTAGCTAAACTGGTGTTAAAAAAATCTGCTTGGTGGGAAAATTGATCTGTGTCTCAACACACAACTTGCTGATAATGGATCAAATAAACAGGGTGGGACCTGAAACAGGGTCTTGAGGCACTCCACTGGTAAGACAAGAGTAGAAAGAAGAGCACTGATCAAAAGGAAATGCATAGGTAGGAGCAAAATCATTAAAGTCTATTCAATTCAATTCAAAAATACTTCATATCTATATGCTGCTCTAGTTAATATAAAAGAAATATGTGGATTACTGTTTTGTGCTACAACGCAGTTTAAAGAGTTAGATTTTTTTTTTTTAAAGAACTTAAAGTGTGACATTTTACTTTGACTTGGATTAGATTCATATTTAAAAATTTTTTTTAAATAAAATCTAAAATCACATTGAAATGTCTCTTAGTAGTCAAATGAGCGGCCTTACTCCTAGATTAAGTCATACTGGGCTCAGGTCCAGACCAGTTTATCTGCCCTATAGTAGTTTATTTTAATCAATTAGACCCAACATGTTTAGCTTAAACTGAGATAATCAACCATTGGAGGGATAATGTAAGTTTTTTCTAAGCTAAAGATGAAAGAAAAGCTGATTGATGGGAAAGATTGTTGATTCTATGATTAAATCCCAAATGGTTTCATTGATAAAGTCTAAATTCACCTCGAACCACTCAATCAGCAAACAGAGCACAGCTTAAAGCATTTGAAGCACAAGTCCACGAGTCACTTCCCTTCTCCTTACATTCCCGTCCACGATGGAGCAGAAATCTGACTCTGCCTTTAAATGGCTTTAGATGGGGCAGGCAGCCAGATGGAATAACCTCATTTTCCATTTTCAGGCTCATTCTGATCCCTGGTTCTTTCTCATACCTCTGCAGGCCAGTTATCCATTCCTCACAATGTTTCTTTCCCTGCAGTATGAAAAGGGGGCAACAACACACCTATAAGAAAATCACAGGCATTCCCAATAGATCAGATTTTCTTGGCAAAGCACTGATTCAGATAAAAAAACACAACAATCATAAAAGGCAAAGGGGGAGATAAGTAAAAAAGATTTAGATTATTAATAGTAGTAAAACATTAGATAAATATCGGAGCCCCAGTGGGTGGACTGGGATTAAAAGTCCAAGAAGCCACTTTTCTCTGGGTCGGCCCTCTTCCCAGAAACATTATGTTTTTTTTCATTAAAACATTTAATCACGAATAATCACATTAATGTCATAGTTAACTTGCAATTAATCGCACATTTTTATCTATTCTAAGTAGAGGTGAGTATTGGCATGAGTGTTGCGATTCGATACATGTCGCGATACTTGGGTCATGATACGATATTATCACGATATTGCAGTATCACTATATATTGCCATATTTTCCCCAGCTATCAAAATCAAATGATGAGATAAAACAGCAAGTGCCGTATATTTTCATCAGAAAATATTGATTAGGTATTATTATCCATGTTGTTTAGGTTTTCTTCCACTGTGACTGCCTCAAATACAGATTTGGTGCTGCACGCACAGTTAAAGGGCTCCACCGCGCTTTCTGCCAGAGTGGTGGTGCAGAGGTAGCCCATTTTCCCAACAAATTTTTATGTAACCATTTTTTTTTTTGAAAATCGATACTAAGAACTGAAAGATCGATATTATATTGGGCAGCCGAATATCACGATATATCGCCAAAACGATTATTTCCCACACCCCTAATTCTAAATGTCCCTTGATTTCTTTGTCACATTATTTTTTCTAATTTTAATGCTCTTATGAATATGGGAAAAGTAGATTGGGATGCTTTATGCAAATGTTTTTTATTGAAAACAAAAGTGCACATGTAATGTAAAACCCACATTCTTATTTAAAGTATCCATGCGCTTCTGTCTGAAATCATCCATTGTTACCTGGCTTTGACGAGGGGGCGGAGAATTCGAATCGGCTGAGTGCTTGGCCATTAAGTGGTATTTCAGACTGGTCGTGCTGCGATGATAGCTCAGTTCACAACGGCTAAACACACAGATCACTTTGGTCTTGTCAACGGAACCATTTGGCAACTTTTTAAAAGAAAACTTTCCATTCAGAATACTATCGGCATCCATTTCGGCGTCTCACGCTAGCCATCCACTCAAAATGTAACGTCAACTCTTTTAATGGCCCAAGTGTGGTTGCAGCGTGCCTGATGTTTTGTTTCCGGTCTAACTAGATCCGGAGTGGTGTTGTAGTTTTTTTAACGTTACTAGTTGTTGAAATAGCATGTGAAAAAACTACAAAGTGTGCTAGGCCAAAAAGAACGTTAATCACACAATACAAAAATTTACGCCGTTAAAACGGGTTTACGTTAACGCCGTTAATAACGCGTTTAACTGACAGCACTAGTTTTTTTTAGTAAACTTGTCCAAACGTGTTCGAATCCACAGATCACACGATGCATTTTAAATCATAGGGATACATTTCTGCACATCCTCTCTTAGGAGAAATAAAACGAAGGTTTCTTTTTCACCACATCTTTAAACTGAGGATTTCCATCAGTTCAACTATAGTCAACCACAGGCTTAAAGGGAAGAAACAAACATCACTGCAATAAAAACAGCTTTGAGGTGATTTTCTTTACAATATTGATTTAATTGGCAAAAATTTTCCCCTTTTTTACCATGTTTATAAAATAAATGCCATTTTGTGTCACAGTAGAAGGAAACGCTGCTGCAACACAATTACTTGTACTGATCTGCATTATCTTTTCATGTGTATAGTTAACTTTAATTTGGTTTGACAGCGAATATTTAATACTTTGAATTGGCAGCACTGTATGACATCATCATGTAAATGCAGCTAGAAGCTGACAGAAAGCACTGCCATTGGTTTCAATCACTTCCTGGACACCTGCCTGTATCTGCAGCTCAGGTGAAATGTGCTCGGTTTTCTCTGATCATCTCTAACCTGTGGATACTCACTGGGGTATCATCGTTAGCTACGCATCTCAGATGGTGAATCAGTAATTCTGTTTATCTCTAGACCTACATTGAGCTCCTGCTGACAGTCACACAGCACCAAAAAGGTTCAGAGCAATTTTCAGATCTTTAACTCATTATTTTTCCATCCATTAATCCTCTTATTTTACTGTCAACTGTTACTCTGACTACAAATGGATCACTGTTATTTAATCCTTTATGAGTTCACTTCAAGCACTTCAGCCTGAAGATAACGGTTGGAAGGAATCACCTTTTCAGCTCTTTTTATGAGCCAAAGCTGCTTCTTGCTTGTATCTAGGTCAGAGAAGCAGACACAGGTATCAGCTCTTTGGTTCAGGAGGTATGAGACTTTCTGATGTAACTGAACTCCTAACCCATTCTCTGTTAAAATTTTAAATTGTATGTGATAAAAGAGACACCAGATAAGAATAGCACTGATCAGAGAAGCTGGTTACTCTGGTGGAGCTACATGGATTGGTTGCTCAGGTGCGAGAATCCGTTTTAGTAGCCTCTTTTTGGCGCTGTCCATAAACCTGTGGTGCTGAAAATGCATAATCTGCAATAGCTACTTTTTACGGATAAAGTCACGAATAAGAAGTCATTCTGTTTTGTTTCTCTGCCGCTATTGAACTATTTGGGTTTTTTCTTTGTTTTTTTTCTGAGAACTTCTGAATCTCTAACGTTCTGCTCTCTGTGCATTTTCTCATAGTAGCTTCATCTGGTCTGTTCCTGTTTGGCTGCGACTCCATCCTGGAGAGAAATATCAGCTGTGCTGCTGCCGTCAACACCTTTGTTTCTAGATTTTGGAGATCAGCCTGTTTTTTCAGTGTAGACCTGTTTCTCTGACTGTGACTAACTGGATGTGCTCTCTTCATCCTCTGGCAGGGGAGCTGGCTCGGGGCTTGTCTGCCTGGCTGTGTGTTTCCTGGACGGGGCCGCCTTTTACAGCAGCTTCCTGTATCTCTGCTTCTGTCTCCTTGAACACCAGTCGGCCTCAGCAGATGGCCGCTCACACTGAGCCTGGTTCTGCTGGAGGTTTCTTCCTGTTAAAAGGGAGTTTTTCTTCTCCACTGTCGTTATAAGCATACTTAGTGTGAGGGATTGTATTTGAGTCAATAAGGTGATGCAATGAACTGGTTTTCCTTAGATAGAAAACTTTGAATCAATTTGACTGGATGATCTGGTTAAACTGTAAAGTGCCTTGAGATGAAATGATCTGAATTGGCGCTATATAAATAAACTGACTTGAATTCAATTGAAAACAAACCAACCATTTCCTATTTTCTTTCTATTAACTAAACAATGAAAGAACAGCAGAAACTCTCCATTCAAAATATAAATGGGTTTGATTCATCAATGTCTATAAAGATCATGTGAGGGTATATTCTGCATGTCATTGTTTTCAGAAACTGAACCAACAACCTTTACTGGTTAAGGTCCTGATTAGGCTTTCAGGCAGGTGAACCGATGAGCTGCTGCTCCGTCGGCAGAGAGCAACTTCTGAAGACAAGCAATACAGTAGAGGTGATTCCAATCCGCTATTATCTCAACCCCCATCACCATGCATGCAGGGAACCAAAACATCTCGCCTGGTCAGCCAGGCCAACAATGAACCCAACATAGCCCTTTTCAAAGGCATAGCCCAGTATCAGGTATTTCAGGCCAACAAATACCTCAACAACTCTCCATTACTAGGGGGTTGACCTGTTCTTTCGGTTCAAATTGCATGTTTTCTAAGCCATAACAAGGCTTTTATTGGGCTACTATATAAAGCCTGGAACTCAACTCTAATCCAGACATTTTGAATTGAAAAAGCTTCCTGAATGGGAAGCGAAACGCCTTAAAAAAAAAAAAATCCAGTGTTTTTTTACTTTTTTTGGAATGACTATGACCTGGATGACTGAGAATTTTCACCAGGATTCTGAAGACAAGGTAAAAACAGTAGAAATGATCCACAGGTTAGAGGCTTACCCGCCTTGTTTGTTCCTCTAAATCATCCTACAGACCATGAAAATGTTTAATATTTCACATGAACAGCGTCTCTCTTGTCTTTTTAATGATGCCTGCATTAAAGCTGCCACCTGTTTGCATCGCTGCTGTCACTAACTCTTTATGGTGACAGTAGGGGGTACATGCTAAATTCTTATTATTAGCACTAGTTTTGCATCTTCTCCACTGCTTCATCTTTTCATTGGTCCGGCTCATTTTTCTTTTCCTTCAATACATTTACAGATTTCTATTTTTCAATCAGCACTAATATTTTCCGTTAATATTGAAACAAGACACCTAAGTTAAATCTTAACATTTAGTAACTGACTAAAATTATTTATTTTATTTTTTTTATGCTTATCTTGCATTAACAGACTTTCCCGCTGTAAAGTCACTGCACAAAGTTCAAAACTGCCACGGATTCATGACAAAGTAATACTGATTGATGAATGGTATTTTTGGTGCATTTATTTATAGAATATGAGTTTGACAAAATTGTTAGATTGGATAAGAAGTTAAATCATCTAAATAGAAACTAATTTAGAAAACCACCTCTTATGGAATAGGGTCTGGGGGGGGAATCACAGATTTCAGTTTGATAAATCAGTTTTTTCCTCTCTGTACCTTCGACTTGGATTAACTTTCATGGATAAGGAGGGAAATTACCTGCAAGGAACATAAGTTAATGAGGTTATTTAGAAGCACATCTTTTTCGTAATTTTCTCAATTTTCTGAGATGATCAGACCTCCTTACTTTGAAAATGTTTTAGTGCATCTGCTAGACCAGAGATCCCCCCCTAGTTTAGAAAAAAGTAGTCATTGTTTCCTCGATGCTACATTCTCCTCTATCATTTATCAAATTTTATTTTTTTTAAATTAGTGTCGCACCGATACCGATACCAGTATCGGACGGGGCCCCGATACTGCCCTAAAATGGTGGTATCGGTATCGGCGAGTACCAAC